GGTGTATGATAGTGTTAATAAGTTTACTGTTTGACATTATAATAAGGTTTGGTGTATGACATTATAATAAGGATTAGTGTACGACATTGCAGTAAAGTTTGGTGTATATTTTTACATTGTAGACACATAACACCTCTCTAGATCAGGAGACTTTTGAATGAGTAGTAAGAGAAATATAGAGATGTTGGGTATGCTTTTTCTAAACAGAAAGATATGTACCAAGACATTAACAGTGAAGAAAACTGTCATTATAATCCTATTTCTGGTCCACGATAAATCAACATAATTGCTTGGCAGAGAATAAAACTCTGAATAATTTTTTGTCATTTTGGCCTCATAACTAGGTCATATGATGTGGTTGCTATGGTAACACATTTGCAAAAAAAGGTCTGTGCGGTTGCTTTGATAATATGTTTCCTCGATATTACATAATGCTTCTGTTTGATTTATGGTCCTTGTCACACTATTTTTGTCTGACTTCAAAGCAGCATCTCACAGGAGGGACTAGCCTCACACATCACACGTGTAGATCTCTGGCCCCCCCATGTGCATTTCATGACAACTTCATGACAACAGTGGCAGATTGACAGAGTTGTGTATATTCATGTAGTTGCGCGTGAGATGAAATTGTCTTTCTGTCCCCTGTGACATGTGCTCGGTTGTATCTGTTTCATACAGCTAGCTGGGTATATCAGCGTATAGATGTGTCTGTGATCAAAATGCAATTTATAACTTTGTCGTAAATTTGAATTAAGTCTGATACCCATGTCCATTCATTGTGTTGTGTCCTGTTCTGGATCAATCCACATGATCAGGTTTACATAGAAGATATGACAATTGTGTTTTATAAACATTTTCTAGTTTATGTCGATGAACTTGCTGTCTATATGGAAATGCATTCCCTTTAGGGAAGTATCTCATAAGGTAACATTTTGAAATCGGAGAAACTTCAGACCTCTGGGATCAGTCTGCGTGATAACATTCTAACCTTGGCAGGTTTGGGGATGCATTTTAGCTGGTTTCTCCATCTCTGGAGTGTTTGGAGTCTTTGACAAACCCTTCTGAAAAATACTGAAAAGAAATTTTGATGTCCTGAATTATCAGTAGTATATTCCTGTATGTATTTGAAGAAGTGATGGTGATGATTTCATAAATGGTCCAATTTATATTAGGACACGGGAAAATAATTTATATTCTTTGGACGTTCAGTTGTGGATTCCGTAAGATCCGTGCAATATCTGGATGATAATATGAGAAATTTTATAGGAATAATAATGATAAGAAATAACAATGATAAATCTGATTACAAGCCTGGAATTTCTTCGTCGGTTTGCACTCGATGAATTAGGTTTCTTGTTGGGTTCACCAGATCCAGTTTGGCATTTTATATATCCTGTCTTTTTCTTTGTTGCTACCTCTGTATTATATAAAATTCGGGGAAAAATAGCTTTATTATGCAAGAGACCTGAAACACTGGTTTCATTTCCACTTTTCTTCTTAACCAACCTTTACAGAAATGTTATAGTAAGAGAGAAAAGATGGTATTTCCCTGTAAGTGGCTTCCAAGTTTTCCTGCCACACTGATAAGAAACATGGCTCTCCACACCACAACTGCCACAAGTATCTTTTAAAGAAATATGCTGCGGATGTTTCTTCAACAAAAAAACTTGACAGACTTTAGGTTTTGTGTATTAATTAACCAAGGGTTGTGTGTACTTAATCAATCGTTGTTGTTTTCTGAACCAATCCTGGTTACTTACGATGCTGACAGTTTCTTGTGCTCCAAGCACTCAGAACAAACTCGAAAAAACTGGCACAATTTCAAACAGATTTACATTTCCTGACGTCTTCTGTCCTTGACTTTTGATGGTATTGATTCTGATATTGTCATGCTCATTGAAAATCACGAAGATGGTTGGTTGGCACACTGGTAAACATGCTCCACTTCCACCTAAATGTCCGAAGTTTGATTCCTCAGATGGAGATGAAATGGGTTGAGTCACCTGTCTGTCCAAGTATTTTTTCTTGTGTATTTCAATCCAGGCCAAAAATAGAGTATTAATATCAGATAGAGTAAATATTTCCCCCCCCCCCCAAATTTCACTATATTTAATGATAAAATGATTAAAAAATGAAGGAAATAGAACAAAAACTAAAGCTAGCTTATTGTACAACTAGACGATGTTCCGTCTTACATTACAAAAGTCTGTCGCATACATCTGATATCTTGTTGATTGCTGGCAAATTGACGTAAATTTTTTAAAGGTAAAAGAATGACACCATATTGAAATATCTAATCACACAAGTGTTACTTTATGAGTTTTGAAGTGTTGTTTGAAGACATTTTCAATACAAGAATTTTGCATGAATTGTGATACTTCTTATGAAAAATCTGAACCCAACATAACAAAATATTACTACAAATTACAGCAAACAAACCTGTAGTCTTTCTCATAATGATAAACCTTCATTTACCCCAACATCCAATAGGAGTTGCTTCTTTGCCAAGGGAAGTAACTCCGAGAGGTGTTTGATTTATTGCTTTATATTTGTACACTAAGGACACGAAACCTGATTTTGAGTACCCCGCATATAGAACTTTATAGTTATAACTGATTCAGCAGTAAGTGCTCTCGTTACCTCACAAACAATTCTGTTGATATATTTAATGAGGAAAACATGTCCATGTCATGTTTTAATTCATTTAAATATATGGTCCAGAATGTACGAGACATTCTTTTGAAATTATCTGATTAAGAAATTATGAAATTTATTGAATTAATGGGCTAAATGTTCTCCTCCCCATCTGCATTTGGACATTCTTGGGATATATTTGGGTTTACCTCGTTTGCTTTCTAGGTTTCTAAATTCAGACCCCTTAGCATCACTGATGAGTCCTTGAAGTACGAAACAGCTGTATGATGCAGTTTCATTTATTTTATTTATTTGATGGCTCTAGGAATCGTAGGGAAGGCGGGATTTTTGAGTCTTTAGTTTTTTGGGATACAAAGGTGGGTGTAGGTACCATATTTGCATGCTAAAGTTATGGTAATTATTACTTAAATGAAATTATTGTTTGGCTTTACTGTATCTAATTTTGAACTCGTAGATATTGTAAAGGATTCACAACATCCAAGATTTATTTAGTTGTTTATTGCGTTGATGGTATTGTCGACATGTTTCGATCACTCGTGTATGTTGAGACTTCATAATTGTGTCTACCTTGTGCAATTTTATCTGAAAGAACTTGAACATTTCATCAGTGTGAATATTGCGCCATTCCGTCCTGTCAGTCAAGGTCAACTTTGACAATACCTCAAAATAGTTTGTGTATTAGGCTTCAGAGGTCAAGGTCACCATTAGTATTGACGTTTATCTGACGTAATTATTTGCACTAGACTTCAAAACACTGAGTTCTGTTAGCAATTCATTATTCATGAATCTGTTGAATTTTTAATTGAATGAGAACCACTGAAGTCAGAGTACAGTGTTTGCTGGTCTATAGTAACAGAGTGCGCTTTTTACAATCAGCTAGTATAACTGACGAAGTCTTGGCCTATCTGCTAGTTTGGTACCACTCTTGGAATCCTGCTGTTAAGCACTATTGATTATCCAAATCTTGGCAGACTTTTACGGTATCGGGCAAAAATCTATTTTGTAAGTTTTTCATTCAATAAAGTTGTAGTGATAGCAAGTCGATTATGTAATCAGAGCGATAATTGAACTGCAGCTCCAGTTACTGTGTGTCTTGAGACAGAAATCATTGGATGTAGATTTGATGTGTTCCGTAACCGTGGTAACCTGTATTGGTTGCAGTGGTAAAACAATGCCCCAGTGGTTGCGTTGACATGGCCACTTGTTTGGTGACACAGATATCCGTGTGATTTAATCAGTCTGTTTTAGAAAAAGAAATATATCCAGTTCATTAAACAGTTACCCAAGAGACTTAAGTAATGCATCACAATAGGATTGCATTGGGAGCACTTGACAATCACATAATGGTAGATCAGGCCGCTTTCCCCGTGGCTGCTGGTACGCTGGTTAAGTCATCCAAGACTTGCTATATATAGACTGGTTCCATGGCAGGAAGGACTGATTCTCCGACGACCATTTTCTGTAGAATTTAGCGGAAGGGCACCTTTGGGGAATGTACAGATAATGGCAGAGTACATAAAGTAAGCATGTCTTGTATTGTCAGCATTACAATGTGTCGGCCATTGATTTGTGTGTGTGTTTGTGTAGGGGGGGCCTCGTCAGGAAAGCATGTAAGAGATTATATTGGGTGACACGTGTAGTCTGTGTGTCATCTTTCGTCTGTTTACATCTGAGAGTTAACGGAAACATTTAAGTCACACGATTAAATGTTTTGTTGATTGTGTTCACAATACCATGACAATACCAGGATATTCATGTTTCAGCATTGTTCGGGATGATGTGCTTGGCTAGCCATCACACACACAGTTCAATATTTATACGCATCTTAAGGCGGGCATATTATCGTCATAACCATTAATGAATTTTGGTTGCTTTCACAGACAGTCACATTACAAACAGTAATGTATGTACTCTGAGCTTTTGTGCTGATATTTAGCAATCTCCTAGTAAAGCTACTAAACTCAGCACATCTGTACTTAGATCACCTAAGATCCTGTTCTAGTTCTTGTGATCACAAATTAATACATCCTGACCGAAGGTTTTAAAACTCATCAATTCTTTCCATAGATGTTGATCCTTACAGTGGTCATCGAGATCAGACACCTATTTCATTCTGACTATTGAAAGTTTTCATAATTTGTCTTATTAGAACATTTGTGTTGATCCTCTTTGCTAGGAAAGTCAATCTGATAACACACCTCCATATGCTTCTATTTGACCTGTGTACTGGTCACTGATAATTTGTCCTGTCTGGCCAGTGCATTTGGTGGTGATATGCTGGCCGTTCTGGGTCTAATATGTCTGTTAGTCTACAAGTTTCCCAAGATTCTGTTCTCTGTCCACAGGCGTTGGTCCAAGGCTGCTGACCAGTGGAGACAGTTCAATAATGAAATGACGGAGCTGAGAGGCTGGTTGGACGATGCAGAGAGACAACTTCGTATGTTGGCGGACTCTGTGGACAGGGACACAATATATAATGTAAATATCTCCGTTAACCTGGTATCGGTGCCAACAATGACAGAACGCTGGATGAACTTCGGTTATGATAGTGTTTCATGATATCTATATTTCTCTTGTCTGTATTTCTCACATGTCAAGTGACTCAAAATTTTAAGCAGTTATTGGTAAACGTTTATTTGAAGAGGTTCACTGCTTTCTATCTTCTTGTTAGTGTTTTCTGGAGCCAATTCAATGTTATGTCATGCAATAAAAATTTAACATGGGAATATATCGATATTATTCTGACACCTGTGTTAGAGAGAAACTAGTTTTCAGCTTTGTTGTTGAGCTTTCACATGATAAAAAAACTTATTATGAAATGTTATTTTTATATTATTTTATTGTCTTGTTAATGCATCAAAAGTGTCCTCGCCTTAATCCAAAAGAAAATGAGCATGAAGATAATATAGGAATCATTTCATAAGACCATCTAAATTTTAAATTCGAGTTTGAAGAAAGTTATTTGTCAATCTTACCCTGATCAATAATTAAGTTACAGTAAAGGTGACAATTTTACATAATTTCGGATTAAGAAATAGATTTGTGACAGGTTCTCTATATCTAACAAATGAATCTTGTGGTTTTTTCTTATCTGTATTTGTTATGCAGATTTATTCATTAAAATCAGTCGCTATTTAATTGGAATATGTTAAAAGGTTTCTAAAACCTTTTTAAAAGACATTTTTACGAGACATGAAGATGGAGTCAATGCTTTCTATCTTACTGTCAGATTATCTGTATCAACTTACCTCCAATGACCTTGATCTTTACTGAGTTAAGGTTTATGGGACTCCATTATGCAACTTTTATCTATTTTCTGGAAATTGTTCGATGGCGTTGTAGATGTAACTTGTTTAGCTTTTGGGTTATCAAATTGGAGGTTGATTAACAAACATAATACATATGGATTACCCATCATGTTGTGTGTCATAGAAGATATCTATATAATTAAATTCTGGGTCTCTACTGGTTTGTATCCAAAACATGACTCAACAAAAGTACATGTTGAATCAGGCAAACCTAATGTAATATCATGTTTCTTGTGATAGCAAAAGTAGATAAAGGAGTTTAATATTTAACAGAAAATTATTTTGCATTGTTGATAAATAGATATCAGTTTACTTGTGAGTTCTCCGTAATCATGAGAAAAACCGCTATATTTCGTTTCCATTTTAACCCTGGAGTTATTGGTATATTTTCTCAAATTTTCATAATTTAAAAAAAAAAAAATTTCAGTTAGTCTACCAATAAAAACATCTTACTTGAAGGATTGTCGAGAGGAGAGGAGGTTTTAAATGCATTTGAGGCTTAAGTTTGCAGCGCATAGGAATTCTGAAAAGATGATAAATGTGAAGTACAGAGAGAGAAAGAATGGTTTTATAAAATAAAATAAGAAAATAAAAAAAAGAAATATTTTACACTTAAATTCATACACTTTTATTTCAAAAGAGTAAATGAATTGTGTTGGGACATGTGTATTTATGTGAAATACATTGAAAACGTTTTGTTGCAGCAACTGGAAAGTGGGATAAAGAACCAACAAGGAACTGTTAACAGTATGAACGCGTCCGGCAACGAAATAATCCGTCAGTCTGCAGCGATAGACGCAGCCACTCTCAGAGGTAAACTCGAGTCCCTGAACCAACGCTGGAAAAATATCTGTACCGCTGTTCTGGAGAGGCACGATAGGCAAGTTGATAATATTCTTGTGTTTAAGTCTATTTTTAAAATCACAGAAGATATATCATATTATCTCATTATTTTGTATATGTGAATCAAACATTTATGAGTTTACTGGAGTTAATCATTTTGATTAAAAGGAATAAAGTTACTTGTTTCAAAGAAATTATTCAATAATTTTAGGTCCACGCAACAGCAATCAATTTAGTGTTGGTCATGATAAGAATCATCTAAGGTAGGCGGAAAATGTTTTTAGGGTGTATGCTACATGTGACCTGAGAGGTTTGCATTGCTTAGAAACTTGTGGAATATATGAGAGGGAACAAATTATAGATGTGGATGAATTTGGTTGTTTAAGGGAGACAACTCTGATTTAAGTCCTAGCATTAAATGTATAAGGTAGCATGAACCCTTAACACTGTAATCATATGTAAGATTTATGTAACAGGTCTGAAACAGAGAGTATAAAAACGGTGGACTTCACTTTTGACATGGATGAGTTATTTTTCTGGATTGACGAGACAGAAAACATTCTGTCTACTTTTGTGATATTGGAAGAAGATGCTTTAGAGGAACTCCTGGAGAAGATGAGGGTAGGTGTTTTAGAGGTCAAGGTCACAAGGAAGTTTTAGAATTGGTAAAGTATACAGTATTACAGGTAATTAGGGTATATTTAGTAATCAGTAAAACTTATGGTAAAAATTCGGGAGGAGATGATACAAGTATATATCAAATAGAAGTCAAAACTTAAGGTCAAATGAAGGTCAAAATGACCTTTGTTAAGGACAAAAATGTGAGACAAGGCCATAAAGAGAATGAATCCAGGTTTAAGAAGATGGTTTGGATTACATAGAATTAAGCTTAATTAGGATGGGGTTTTATCACCAACATCTGTTTGTATGATGGATTTGAATGAAGGTATGTATGTATAATCTACTCATTAGGGTTTATGTTGTAAAATTCCTGTTTGCAGATGTGTATTACATATTTTGATTTATCTCCGTGGTGATTAGGAGCTAATTTTAAGTTATAGATTAGAGCTAAATGATTAAACTTTCACACAGATTTCACTCGCATGCCTTTTGATATGTGCTGTTCAAAGTTCCAATCTGTAGCCTGTGTATTTCAGGACCGAGAAGATGAAATTTCTACAAAACAACAGATTCTAGATGCAATCAATAGAAATGGTCATTCCATGCTGAAACAAGAATCAATGTCTGTGGAAGACAAGGAAAACATCGGCAAGGATCTAGAGAATCTTACCACTAGGTTTGCCAAGGTAACCACAGTTATCTCCCTTTATGTAAAAATTATTCTGTGTGATTCTATACAGCTGTATCTGTTTAATATAAATATGTTTGTTTAATATTGAAATTTGGGGAATTAAAAGAAACAAAAAATATGAAGATAAAAGTACTTTTTGTTTTAGAATTTTAAAATCAAACAAGATGAAACAAATTTTTTTTTTGTGACCAATACTAGACCTGAATGAAATATTCAGAATAAAGATAAATCATATGTAGTTACTGTTGTTCTACATTAGCATGATGAACCTTAATTTTTTCCTATCAGGTTTCGAATGAACTGCCCGATCAGATCAAAGTGATGGAGGGACGGCTACACAAACTACGTACATTCCAACTTGAGATAGATGAACTTCAGACATGGCTCGAGTCTACCAGACAAGTCTTAGAGTTACAACAGAAACCCTCGGGTCTGGACGAGACCGACGCCATCATCCTAGATCACCAGGTACGGGATTTATAGCTCTTGTTGAGGATCGAAGAGCATAGCAGAATGTTTACCATAAATTCTTCCCACCTCTTACAAGCAGAAAATAAATACAGGTGTTATTCTGATATTAAAACATTAAATGAATATCTCCATTCTTGTCTGAACAAGTTGCAAAATTCCTGGCTATGCTGTGCCATTTCAGAATTCAATCTAATGACTTATAAAACTATTGTTAGCATCAAAATATCTCTCCTGTGGTCGGTTTAGACAGGCGAAATTGGTGGGAATCCATAACAGAATGGTCACTGGATCATAGATTTCATGCAGAAAGTGTGTTTGCTGTTCACTAAAATTTCAGCTGGGGTTACAATATTCTTACTTCATTAGACTTATTTTCTGTTGGTTTTATAATTTACACAAATATCTCAAACTGTTTGGCTAATAACAAAGCAAACCTTGATGTATTCAGGGCCGTGCGACCATTTGTAAATCGATCCATGGAGATCTGAAAAGAACCACAAATCAGATATCATGTTAGTTTAAATGGTAAATTGAGATGTATGATTTCCATAGGAACATAAATAGATAATTTTGTGCAGTTTTTGTCAAAAGCATCCCAGGAAACCTAACTTGTGCAGAATACCCCCTTAAAATATGTACAATAACGTCCAATATTCACCTACACTGAAATTATAACCCACTGCAGATTTTTGAGGTGTCAGACAAAATCTTTAGGGAAAAAAAGAATGCCATTGAAATGAATATATATATGTGATTCTGACCTTCAGCCAACCCCTGAGGCTTTGGTGTTGCGACAGGCAAATGTGGATAACCTTAACCTGCGTTATAGCCAGTTGATGGAAGAGAGTGCTCAGGATGAAATTATTGTCCCAGATACCATCCAGCAGCAACTCAACAACCTCAACTCTGATTGGCTGTTAGTGAAACAACTGTCAGAGAATGTAAAACCTGTCGAAGAGGTCAAAGTTGAAGAAGTACTCAAACAAGGTAGGTAAATGAAGTTTTACAAAAGTGCTTTCAGCAATTTTTGCCATCCATGGTTAAAAAAAAATTCAGCAGATACAATTTTCATCTGTGTTGTTATAAAGGTTAACAGTTGATATTGAAGTAATGTAGAATCAGCATGTCTGTCCATCTGTCTGTTATCTGTTTTGTCCTGACAATGGATTCCTTAGATTATGTCCATTGTATCTTTTGTATTCCATAATACTGACCTCCATGATCTTTTCCTTTAAGATCATGCAATATGTATGGAGACACCTTAAAGTTCACCTTGTTTTCTGTGTTATTTTACAGTAAAAGTGAGTCAGGTGGAGCTACACCAGGTTACGACCAAGACGACACAGATAGAACTTCACCAGACCTCGCCCTGGCCAGACTTTGACAAGTCCCTGGCAGAGCTTCGTGATTGGTTAACACTTCTAGAGAGGATGCTGAAGTCACAACGTGTCACTGTAGGTGACATTAAAGACATTGAACAGATGATACAGCGCCAGACGGTGAGTTTTAATCTACTCTATGTCATTTTAAAGCTTGCTGTGTCTTTATAGAGCTTGTCTGTGTGCTGATGCTTTGAGATATTTTGATGATCAAGATTTTGGTGTCAAAAGAGAATTCGTTAAATCAAGAATGTGTTTTTTATGTTAAGTTGTTTACCTAATTGGTTTTTCTTTAAAAAAAATCTTACCCGGTAATTTTCAAAAATTGATATGTCCAGCACCTTTTACTTGGTGAAGGGAAGTAACTCTTAAATCCATTGGGACACCTAATATTTTGTGTTGAAATATTTATATCTACATGCAGGGTTGTTCAAAAGAAAAGTCATAAAGTGCATGTGTTTATATATATCCAATGTGATTAGATCTCTTTTGGCACATTATATATTTCATATCACTGCATCTTAACATTTATCCTAGATAGATTGAAATGCACTATGTATCATTATAGTAATTATTCTATAATTTTGTATACATATACTTTGTTCAACACTGTGTAAAAAAGCCTGTTGTAGTATTGCATAATTTCCTTAAAAATGTTTTCATTTTAATCTGTATTAGGAATATTTTCAAATTAATATGTATTACTGTTTTAGTCTTGTTTTCGAAATTCTTTTAAGTACTTATAATTTTTTTTTATGTTTGTTGTATATGTAATGTTTAGTTTGATGCCAGTAGCTGTAGTTCTAACCATATAACCTAGACATATATATATAGCTGTACAGACCGTCATCTGATTAATGCTCTTTGTCACTAGGAATTTGTCACAATCGCTGTTAGAAGTGAATTGGCACCACGCCAACTTAGTTTTCTGGTATGTTTCCATAAATCCTTGAAGTTGAGTATTTAGTATGCATATCTGGATCAATTTCAAAACAACAAAGATTTTTTTTCCCAAAATGTGAAGTAGATAATCAAGGCTGAACTGAATTTTACACAACTTACAATAAAATCGTGTTTGTTTTTTTTTTATTTTACAATGACTCATGGGACTTGCAACCACTACATGTCGGTGTCGTCATTAAAATCCTTAAATTTACGTTAACATGTACACTTTCAATACTGAAGTAAAGGTGCTAACGTAAAAGATTCGAAAGTTTCATGTAATGAAGTCTGGATCAATTAAGTTTTAGAAAATTAGCAAAACTGGTCGGAAAACTACACAGAACCATTTATGTCTTTGTTCATATGATAATTAAATACCCAAAGGATTTGTTCTTAACGTATAATCTGTTGTATTGTTGATGATTAACAAATCTGTTTGGTCACAATATCGGAACATTAATGTTTTCTTCTTTCAAGTCATTTATTGTCTTCTGTTCTTAAACAACACGGTTTTTGCATTTAAAATCATCACTTCTCTAGAAGCCAATGAAACATGGCATATAAACCATGGCTTGAAAGAAAATTATCTTCTGTCGTTTGAAGCAAAACACATAACACAGATTTGATAGTGCTATAGAGATACATACAGTATACATACCAACATTGTTGATTATAGGAATTGGACTCGGAAGAGAAATATCTGTTTGGCAGAACTGAAAATCAGAAAGAACACTTCTGTAGTTAGACTTCTGAAAAACATGTCAACATTTGATGTCACAATCTGGTTATCCAACATTTTTTTTTTTCTGACAAAAAGAAAGAGATTTTCACTCTACCTGAAAAATTTATAAGGAAACCGCTTACCATTCTGATATATATACAGAAGTACAACCGAGAAGTATTCAATAAAGCTGAAAACTATATTTAGTAACAAAAGAAGGTTGCAAATGTTTCATTAAGGGAGAGTACATTTCATGGTAAAGTCCTACTCTCTAGATGCCCATAAGTCTCTACAGCTATATATAGCCATTAAAATATCTATGTGTAACTTTTACTTGTGTTGCCTGTGTACAGTTTCTTTGCTTTGCTGTGATTACTAACCTTTTATTTGCTGATTGCTCCGTGTGCCTTCTCCGTCTTACTACCAGTCCTCAGACAGCGACAGCAGTTTGAATCTGTCGGAACACGATCTTAATGCAGTCGACCTTGACCTTGATGATGCTCAGGCACTCATACATGATATGTCTCAACAGCTCCTGCACCTACAGGTCTGTGGGGACTTTTACTTTGGAGTTTATGGTTTTGCAGGATTAAACAAAAAAAGAATTTGGGAAAAATGGAAAACAAATAAATAGATTAGAAATGCACCACTAGGAAGAGAAAAAATTGTGGTGGAGGTGTACTTTTTCATGATGAAGAAGAAATGAAATCACAATTGATATTTACCTATTAATCTTCCACTGCCTATTTCCAACATTTTTCTGATACATGATTTGTTGATTTTAGTAAAATTACAAAAGTTTAAAGGTTCATTTTGATCCAAATATTCTATTGAATGTAGTTTTTTTTTTTTTTTTTTTTGTAAATTCTTAAGTTTTCTACTAATATCGATACACTTTAATTTGTTTATCTAAATCTAACTAAAAATATGATATTGTTATTGCACGCCAACCTACTACTACCTCCAGCCTGCTGCACTTTAAATTCACAGCTTTTCAGTCTTCTGATGTGAAATAGTATGTCAGATATAATTGTGCATAACTCCTCATTCAAAATTACTCGATGATATTTTAGGAACAAAGGTGTGAAGATCTGACTACTGTTGCTAATTAACAGTGTTAAAATGTTCGAATGCATGACGCTGCAGAACGTGGCACGTTTCTGCACCTCATGATTGATAAAACAAACATCTAATTGAACTCTTTTATTTTCATGAAACAAAAAAAAAAAAAAATGTTTGTAAAATTACTCGGCCATGATAAAGAATTTCAGTTATTCCATTACTTGAAATCCATCTATAAAAATATAACTGTATTCAGGTCTTGAAAATGTTTAAGTCCAATCTGGTTACTAGACATGGTTATAACTCACAGAAATGGAAGTAGATATTGGTGAAATTACAGCAGAATGTCGATTGACAAGAGCTTGAGTTGGTATGTTTGCTGTGTACGGGGTAATGTAATCACTGCTCAGTGACTAGAAGTAGGCCAGTTCTAAAGTGATTACTCAGTAACATGTTTATGCAATCACTCTTTTCTTGAAACTATAGCTACACAAATTTATTTAAAGTCATGCTTTTCTCTTGATGTCTTTAAAGTATTAAATTTTAATTCATTTAGTTTCAGCTTTCTACGATACATATGTTATGATACCGATTATCTGATTGGGTTGTGTAATATAATGCAGCCTCTGATTGGTTGCCGAGTTTGACACTGACGGTAAAATGAGTCAGCATTCAGATATTGTAAACCCTTGCCTTCATTTCAGTGATTCCAAGCCATGAAATTTAAATTTTAATGAAGTTGAAAATGGAACATTTGACATTGTACTCTTGAAGAGGGTTTCAGAATGCGATAAGATAGAGCCATTCTTAAGTCACAAAATTAATATACCTTAAACTCCATACAGTATGGATTTTTCGGTAACAGACTCCTGGGGATTTTAACATCTATAGAATGTTTGTAAGGTTGAAGTGGTGATAGAGTTGTTGTTTTGATCCAAATTTTTACACATTGAAAAGCTTTTACAGAAAAGATACTAGAATTAAACAGGGAAGTTATGGTTCTGTTGACTATCATATAGAAACCATATTGTTAAGCCTTTACATTGTCATCTTACTCATTCACATACAGTTAGGTTGTACACCTTCATAAAACACCTGCCCATCACCTGCTTTAAAACTACCTTGGTATTGTGATCTGCTTTGCCCCTCTCAGATATACTTTTATGGTTGTTTCCTCTCATCTTTCCATCCTCCAATCTTCCCATCCTCTCATCTTCCCATCCTCCCATCTTCCCATCCTCCCATCTTTCCATCCTCTCATCTTCCCATCCTCCCATTCTCCCATCCTCCCATCCTCCCATCCTCCTATCTTCCCATCCTCCCATCCTCCCATCCTCCCATCCTCCCATCCTCCCATCCTCCCATCCTCCCATCTTCCCATCTTCCTATCCTCCAATCCTCCCATCTTCCCATCCTCCCATCCTCCCATCTTCCTATCCTCCCATCCTCCTATCCTCCTATCTTCCCATCCTCCCGTCCTCCCATCTTCCAATCCTCCCATCCTTCCATCCTCCCATCCTCCCATCCTTCCATCTTCCCATCCTCTCATACTTCCATCCTCCCATCCTCCCATCCTCCTTCCTTCATACAGTCCATATGGCTCCTTTTATGCCCTCTTCTTGCAGTTCCATTTTACAATTACTTTGTATCTGTATTACACTGTCAGAACAATTTGTCTTGCCCTCCCACTTCAGGTTTCAAAACTTAAAGAATTATATGCCTTCTTGGGTTGCCCCCTTCAAAACTATCTTAGACTTTACCTGCTTCAAAACAAAGTATCATCAATACCCTGCACTTTTCTTATAAAGACTAGATTCTGAGCTCCTGTCTTGCTCCCTTTCTCACTAGCCCCTGCCCATTTAGGGATTACTCCTTTTGTTTCATCACCTACCTGCTAGAACCTCGGCACTTAAGTGCATGTGTTGCAGTTTGATCACGGTTCACTGTACAACAAATTTTACATGCAAATCATTTCCTAATAAATCTTTTAGAGATGCTGCAGTTTGTCACAGCATAGGTGCATGAGAAGTCGTATGGTTTTATCACAGAATTATGGTATCGCAAATTTCACATGCACATTACTGCCTAATATATCTTAAGGGTTGCTGCTGTTTCGAGTTTTATTGTTAAGGTTTTTGTAATGTATGGAAAGAGAAAGAACTCAATTTAGTGTTAAGTTACAGCTGTACTCTGAATCTTTCATACGCTTCAAATCAATGTAATTTCCTAATCTACAATTCCAAGAATACTTTGCTAATGAATTTCTCATTTTAATTGTATGAAGATTTTTGTTGGTTCCTTATGTTATAAGAATCATTTCGTCGTAGAACCGTCAGAACTAGATGTATTTTAGCAGCACTAAACATGTATTGGAGAGTTTTTCAGTAAATGATGCAAATTGAAACTCTCTGACACCAAACAAAATGGTATGAAGAAATCCCTGTTGCCAGTGTTAATGTGATGTTATTCATTGTAGTAGAATGCTTCAGGCTCAGAGATTTTTCAAACTTTCGCACGTCAGCTTACGGTTGTCGTAACAAATGGTCTGTGGCTGGTCAATTACAAACATAATCAATAACCACTTCATTCGTTTCAATAAAATATTCTTGGCGATGAACCTTGCATGACTGACGTAATTTGAATTGCCGTCTTCATATCATGTCCATTTCAAAGTAATCCATTCTTTTAGTTTTGAAATTAGATCAATGATATGTTTGGGTTTGAATTGAATTCCAGTCCCATTTGTTACTGTTGGGATGTTCACTTAATCTGTTTGTAATGGGGCGAGCCCTCTCTTTGATTGACGTAAGAACTAAGGGTCCGCCATTTTCCTTTCCCAAACGTTATCAATGCTTTCTACAAAATCTCAGATGGATCGAAATGAGCAAGACACTGTTGATCCAGTGTATTTAATGGTAGGGAAATGTTGCATTTGAATAAAGTCATTGAATTCAAACATTTGGGTGACTAAGACTTGTGTCATCTGCCTATTGCAGAACGTACTACAGGACATGGAGACCAAGAGACCACAGCTGGAAGATCTGCTGAATGCTGCAGAGAGTCTTCAGAAAAATGCCAGTGAAAGTGAAAGGAGAACTCTAAAAGAAAGAGGTAGCTCATCATTACAGCAATTTGTTGGTGGTGGACATGTACTAAATTAATTACAAAATAGTTCAAATTTTTCAGGCGGCATTAAATTCAATACTGTAAACGATGTACTGTTACAGAAAGTGTTGTTCTTGATGAGGACATTTATAAAAATCGGACGGTGATAAATTGTTTAATAATGTGGCTTCTTAATTTTGCATTTAAAGTTTGATATTTTTAAACATTTTGCTCCGTGAAATAAATGTACTAGGCACTACATTTGACACAATTCTATTTATTCATAATTTAGTGTATTTTCAACCCATTAGAAAAACAGCTTCTCTATTAATCTAATCATTATTGTTTGATTGTAGCGGAGAAATTGCGAGAACAGTGGGATGAGGCATACGTTCGCGTTAATCGTAGAAAAAACCAGTTGGATGACATGCTCTTAGAATGTCGCCAGTTTGACGAAATACATGCAGAGTTTGAGCGCTGGCTTCTACAGGTGGAGGATGAGCTTGAAAAAAATCCAGTAGATCCTCGTGCCAAGGACGTGGATCAGCAGATTGCCCAGCAACAGGTGAGTTAAGTAACCATAGCAATATGACATTATGTTGTCATGGAAACATAGATTTTGTGTAATATTACTATTCATATTAATTACTGTAATTTAAAACCAGTAGCCCGTACTTTATAGGTCATATTATTGATATGACCAATAATATGAACTTTACTCTAGAAAAGTTGTTATCCTGGATAAGATGTAGTCAAAATAGAAAAAAAAAAAAATTTCAGTGCAAATGTATTTTCGGAATTGTTGTTTACCATGGCTCAGGCTCTTCAGAAGGAGGTTGATGAGCGACAGAGAATCATAGACAATGTGAAGAAGCTTGCGAGTAAGCTGATAGATGAGTACAGTCATGATGACACAAGTCACGTGAGACTTCAGCTCGAAAAGGCCATGAACCGATGGTCAACACTTCTGCACAAGTAAGTCACACTCTCAACTTTGGCTTGACTACTTCTTATAATTCTGGACTAAACTGACTCTGATTCTAGTCCGAAAACAATTCACAGATATCATCTAGACCACAGTTAACATATGTAGACTAACCACTGAGTGGCCTTGACTTTTGGCAGTTTGTATTTCTACCATCTGTTTGACCTGAACATTTTAAATCTAGACTTGTACAGAATTTCGAATTTTTGTCAATACAGTCTCTACCATACTATGCATAGTTCTCCTAGAATCTCTGGCTCAGTGTAGGATGGGCTTATTACAGGACAATTAAATTAAATTTTCATGGCATTTATTATTAAATTGGGAAAAAAATCTGTTGGCTTATGATCAGACATGTGTTAATTGCTGGAAGAAAAGATTGACTGAACTTCTACATAATTGAAAGGTCAAATAGTATTAACATGCAGGTGACCCACTTTTAAAGTGTTTTCATTGGTTAATGTACAGTTATGATCTTTGTATGAACTCTGACCTCATAGGACATGATAATGCTTTACAAGATAAGATTTGTTGTTGTTAGGTTCGAAATGAGAATGATCAATTTGGTACTGATATATTTATAAACATTTTTATCTTTAGCACAAACACAATTGAAAATTGTATTTTTTGAGCTTTCGAAAATGTCAAAACCTTGCAGAAATACAGTTTTCAATCGCTGTTTGTGCCAAAGATGAATATCTTCTTAAATAATGTTGTTACAATTTGTTTTTTCTGTAATTTTAATACTTAAGTAATCAAATAAATCTCCTTGTGAAGGACAAGTAAGATTAGTCTGAAAAAAAATAGGTAACTGACTTTTGACCTATGTATTTGACAATAAGCCCAGGTCTGGAAACTAATTCACTGTATGAATATATTGCTGTGTAGTGAAATTATTAAACAATACCTTTTCATTGTCCTGTATTTAGCCCACCCCTAAATTTGATATGAGGAAGAAGTTATGTGTTATCTTCCTGTATTTAATGCAGGGAAAATATAGGTTTTTGTAGAAATGTTGTCGATATATTTTAGATTTGGAAAGACATTTAAGAAAGCCTTTTAAATTATAAAAGAAACCTCCACTTTAAGGTTGTTACCTTTCATCGCTTGTTCTTTATCCTCTATATTTTCAGTTTGACATTTGTGTTAAAGTACATGACTGAACATTTAACTTTGCTCAGCATAGACATTATGTAATAAATCTGGCTTTATAGCCATCGCCAGTTTCTTATATATACAAGCTGGTTTGTGTCGTACCAGGAGACATTTTAACATTATACTCATAAGCAGGGTTTCAGAGCTCTTCAACCTCCAATAGGCATGTGCAGCTGACAACTAGATTCAAAATGATGAATAATTTTATATGGTTTGAATGTTAATTATTCAGAAGGAAAATAATGCCGATATATAAATCATTTATTAGCGATGACGTTACCACAGGTGGTAGTCGGTATTTATCAGGAGCGTTGACAATACTTTGTATTGTTTTATGGTGTGGAGAATCTGATGCTTGTCAGATAAGGGATCCTGATTCTTGTATACCTAACAATGTGTCATATCATTGGTCAATTCTGAATCGGCTGATAGGATAGATCTTTCAAAGCATGTGTTTGCTATCTTGAATCAAAATTATTTCAGAAATCAATGGCATCCATTTTTCTTTGGAATACAGGACAAATTGATTGAAATTGAGTCAGATTTCTTATATAAAAAATAGTCTTAATGTTGAACATTTTCACAAAAAAGAAAAGCTTGTTTTTTTAAAGCAATAGGTGATTTATCGTGATAAAGAAGGAATTTATTTTTATTTTATATCTCACCAGTGAGTCACACACACTTCTGTGTAATAATCCTATAGATCACTAGCTGATGATGTTAATGTTCTGCCCCTACTCTCTGGTAATTGGGGATTGAATATAATATAAAGGGATCTATGGAGGTGATGTAATATATTTATTTTACTTCCTTCATCATCATAATCCCTAATCCATACCAGTGCTGGTAATGGCGTTGTACCTTTAATCTGTACCAGCACTGGTAATGACGTTGTACTTATCATAGCTTTTGTCCTTTGTCTTACCTATTAGCATTACGTTTATATCTTACACGGAGTAGTAAAGATGAATAACGGGTCAAGTTGAATTTCAAATATAGACAATTGAATAAAATGAGATCCTGTACTGAAAATTGATATAGAGATATAAGCATGACCATTGCATGCCATTAATCAGAACCTGATCTCACGTCAGAGTGTCAATATGTGTTAGGATTCACCATCCAAACACCAGGTTGATAACATGTGACCTTGATATGAATACTTTAAACTTTGGTCTTGGTGCAGTATTTCTCAAAATAGTAAAAATTGCTGAATAGCTGATCATATCGTGATTGAAATATCACAATCTTGATTGAAAAAGTGAAACCAGTTCCATTTTGGGTTCTGATAAGGATTTTGGAAACTTCATTGCTAGCACAAGCAAAGTAATATTGACAAGATATATGAGTACCTATTGTTTATGGTCAATGTTTATTGCTAGGTTGGCGTACAACATCAAGACCCTACAGAACAACCGTAACTCCATACAACAGCTGGACACTACGCTGGACAGCTTCACCCACTGGCTAGGAGGGATAGAGAACAGCTACCAACGCCTCTCTCACGAAACCTGCAAGGAGGAAGTGCGACAAAACGAGGACCTCTGTAGGGAATTCCTGGAACAATTCAGGGTGAGTCACTCTAAAGTTAAGATATTTTTTCACAGTTTTTTTTCATTTTCCAAGCTGATGTACCACTTGGCTTGCAAGATTAGTGTGATTCATGTGACTGTCATGTGCTGTAATTAAAAAGAAAAACTAGATCCCATGGCTATCACATGCTGGAAGTTATAGTGTCACATGACAGTCACTTGCTGTGAGCAAATGTCACATGACAGTCATATCGTGCAAATGATTGTCATATGATGTGTTAATTTCACATGGTGACAAATATAAGTTTAGAGCAGTTTTGAATTTAAGTTCCTGAATAGTTTTTCTTCCAGATTAGATTTGGTTCACAATACAGCAAAGTCTGAATGTCGTTCTCAAAGCTTATTGGCATTTTTTCAGCTTCTTTCTTTCAAAAGAAACCTGACACTGTTTGAAATACTTTGGTCTGTAAACAGATGTGAAATAATGTCAGTGAGTAGTTCTAACAATTATCAACAGTGTTGATTAGACCAATTTCTCTTGTGTTTGAAACCAAAACCAATGGTCATGACACATGATAAGAAAAAGAAGGAGAATTTCCTGGCTTTTGACAAGATAGCATGATAATGTAAGATTTTCAATACTTTGTAATGGCAGTCTGGCTGGAGTAATATGATGCTGACCTTTAGCGTTTATAGGCTGAACATGACTAGACTGAAATAGAAAAAGAGTTGTTAATGCTTTGTGGGTTTTTAAGGAGATTTCTATCATGAGTTTGAGAGTTTGGCATCATGATTATTGCGACGATTCAGCAATATTTTTAGTTGACTGGAAAAGATCAGACAAAAGGATGATATTAATCAAAAGAATAAAAAAAATTGATTTTTGAAATGTACTTCTTATTTCAATGTCGTCTCAAGTTTTATTGTATGAGTGATTTTTATGTGTATAAAAAAGAGAGAGAAAAAGCTACTACTTACCTGTATTCATACTGTTGTGATTTATATATCTAAAGGTTGTTCAGATCCTGTGGTTTAGATTTTTTATGTTTTATCAAAACTTTGACGCAAAAGTGAAAAATACAAGAACCTCACAAATACCTAGCTTTGTAGCAGTGTAATGATATCACCTATTGACTTACATAAATCTGGGAGTGAGTTCATCCTGACTCAATGTTCATTCTGACTCAATGTTCATCCTGCTCAATGTTCATCCAGACTCAATGTTCATACTGACTCAATGCTCACCCTGAGTCAATGCTCATCCTGACTCAATGTCCATCCTGACTCAGTGTCCATCCTGACTCAGTGTTCATCCTGACTCAATGTTCATCCTGACTCAATGTTAGAAGATGTCTTTACATCAATACTGAGAATTAAGGTAGCATACAACTTTTCACAGTATATATATTTTTAAGTTATGTAAAAATGATGCCCTTTTTTTCCAAAAATATGAAGATTTCAAGCATTATACACCTTATATAGACCATTGGCTCCAGGGATATATAAAATAAACAATATGTTAAATTCTAGTGTTCTAATGTTAATTTCTGAAAGACAGTATATTTATGTTAATTATATAATGAATACTTGTTCCTTATTTAATGTTGTAGGACAAGTTCTATAGAATTGTCATTCATTGGTTCCATTGTTTGGAACTCTTTAAAAAAAAAAATGAAGGTTAAAGATTTGAGTGTAATATCATGCATTTGATACTGAAATCGCCCCCAACAGTGATTGTGTCAGGGGATGGTAAATTTAAGTCCTAACTTGTATAAACGGCTCACTTACTGGTATCCTTGATCTTGCATCAGTGATTGTGAGGGTTTCCCAACAAAGATCTGAGGCATCTCATATTATCTATTTGTCTGGAAGCCTTATCACCATCTAGTCCTTGTGTAATTGTGGGAGTATACAATTTATTTTAATCAATCTTCCTTCTGTAATATTGAAGGCTTCACAACACATGACCACCTAAGACCGTCAAAAGATCTGATTTCTAATTAAATAACATCTCGCTTTTGCTGGCAATGTTGAATTCAATTTTTTTTAGGGGACAGCAGATTCCATTAAAAAATTAATGGACACTTCCTGGTTTGTGTTTATGAAAGATAGAAGACATAAAATGCTTTATCCAATATTCAATGGAATCTATGAAATTTGATTAGTGGATCAGAGATAAGGTAAGAAGTGGTGACTTCTGTGCTGCGAAAACAGAAATGGGACATTTAGAAAGTTATTTTTAATCAGCGTTAGTGTTAACGTCCTCATAGAACATTTATAGATTGTGCTCAAATAGTTACTATAGCATTTTAATTTTGTTCTAAGAATTTTTGGGTTTTGGGACATTAGACTATTTTTGTGACGACAGGGAAAGAGGAGACACAAAATTTATGCGATTCTTGTTTCATTGGCAATTTTTGAAGTGATTGTCTATGAATAGATAGAATTCCCTGTAGGTTCAAGTGACTTGTACTTTTAACTTTAAAACAAATTAGATATTATGATTTAGATATTTCCGACATGTGTACAGCTTCCTGACAGCCTCAACACTGGAGTACATGAACTGATTAAGATGATGTAAATAGATAGACGATGATACTGACCTGAGGTAGTACGAGACCATTGATCAATTTGGGATAAATTAAACAATAGCTTCCGGGGTTATAAACGTATAAATGTAACCAATCATGATTGGTTACATTCATTACAATCGTAGAGTAGGATGCCCATGAAATGATTGATAAATTTTTTTTATAGACAAAAATCTAGAGCATTTGAATTGTTTATGATTCAAAATTCAACTGAATTTAAATTCTTTTCTTTTCTCATGCTACATTGTAGATAAGATTTGCTTGTTTTTTATTCTTTTTCGTAATTTCTTCTTTTTTTAAATTTTTTTTTTACTTTCTTTAACTACAGTGTTTGTAAAGAGAATAAAAAGAATTAACCCTGATTTCCAAGTACACTTTCCCGACCAAATGGATTCTACACACACACCTATAGTTTGGAACGGGGCACTCAATCTAGTGGGATAGGTTACTACAAATTTCCCTGGAGTGCATGAGTGTTGATAACAAATGTCTGATACTTTAGTTACATCAGTGATCAGTCTGTTTTACCCAAAGGCATGAGAGACACAAACAAAATTATGGAGATGTAACGATGAAATGGATATAAATGTGTTGTAAACAGAGAACAAATTTCCGTAGAAGATTTCATTTCATTGCTATCGTAGAAATACAGATTGATAAACAGTATTAATGATTTTAGTAAAATCATGTCAGGAAAGATTGTATATCAAATCAAAAGAAAAAAAAAAAAAAAAACCACAAAATTTGGGGCCCATGAAAATAAAGTAATATATTTATTGAAATTTAGTACATGTTACCCAGGGGTTGGATATTGTTTTTGTTGGTTCATCTTGCATACCCTGAACAAAAATCTCTTGGATTATTAGCTCACCTTGTTCGAAGCAAAGATGCTTCTGATCAAATTTGGGCAAAATCCAATAATCCCCACAGGTGGATGGAGTAGGATGTTAAGGAACTTATTCTATTACCCTTAATGGGCTACTAATGATGAACGATAACAGGGATTTGGACCAAATTTGGTCAAAAGTATCCTTAGGGTGAATGGAACATATTTTGTATAAATGGTGTGTCCTTGCCCTCTAGAGCCTGAAGGGCACTGCTAAAAATGGGGGAATTATTGGATTTTGTCCAATTCTGATCAGAAGTATCTTTGGGTAAAGGGAAATCAATTTTGTATAAATGGTGTGTCCTTGCCCTCTAGGGCCTATTTTGTAAAAATGGTGTGTCCTTGCCTTCTAGGGCCTGAGGGGCACTGCTAAAAATGGGGGAATTATTGGATTTTGTCCAATTCTGATCAGAAGTATCTTTGGGTAAAGGGAAATCAATTTTGTGTAAATGGTGGACCACGGCTCCATAGGAAAAGAGGGGAGGGGCTCAATATTGGAAATGTGTTTGAAAACAGTTAAGATCCCCATCCCGTAGCCATGTACATGTATAGCATTGCTGGGCATTAAGACATAAATACATTTGTGATGTAAGAATTGGCCCATGGGTGTGGCCCCTCTCCCTTTTTTGATATCTTTGAAATAGTTGAAATTTCCACCCCATACCATATATATGGCACACCTCAAGGGACATTATTTCTGGGTCATGTTTTTAATACAGTTGAGATACCAGCCCAATAACTGTATGAAGTCTTACTGGGAATCAAAAGAGAAAGACAGTGATGATATAAGAATTTACCCATTGGTCCTGCCCCATCAAAGAGGTTAAGTGACTGAGCTTTAATTTGGAAATATTTCAAATTCCCAACCTATGGGCATGTATAACATTGCTGGGCTTTAAGATCCAGGTGCACAATACAGGCCCTATGGGCCTCTTGTTTTCTTTGTTAAGCTAGAAACTGCTCCCAACAAAGCACAATCCATAATCACTTCAATTAATGAACGCAATCCAAAATTACTTTGATTTTATTTTTTTGTTTATTTATATTTTCAATTATGAATGTAATTTCAGTTCAGATTCTGTAAGCCCTCTACTAAATTGAACAATGGATTATAATTATCTATTTACATTATAAGGATTTAAAAAAAAAAAAAGACTTTTAAGTCGGTGTGTTAGACTTTCAACAAGGAAGTGGGCACATAGAATACATGAACAGGATAGAATTGTGAGTTTAACAAACAAAAGTAAGCTGTTCTGTGAGGGGTGTTGTCTGCCTTATCACCAGTAGTTTATATGTTGTGCACCTAGTCTTTATTGTGAACAGTTATTGATCCAAGGCAAAAAGGCAATAATCCATTACATGACTATCCTCCCCCAAAGCCATGCTCTTGTCGTCTCCGATACATCAACGTCACGTAAAAATATTGCCCGTCATTTCTAAATTATATGTTTTCAAAAAGAATATGTTTTACAAATGTGTAAGTTACAACCACTTCCTATATCCGTGTCCCTAAAATTACATTTTTTATGTTTCTAATGAAAATTTACACCAATTTTTTTATCT